CTCATTCTTAGAGATAGGAAAACCAGAAAAGAGTCCAACTGAGAAAGAGAACTACAGCCAATGTCCCTGCTGAACACAGGTGCAAAGCCTTCACTAAGATAGAGGCAAACAGAATCCTGCAAATCATCAATAATAGTGTGCACCATGGCCAAGTGGGGTTCATTTTAGAGATGTGGGAATGGTTTGCCATTCACAAATCCATAAATGTAATACACCACATCATCAGATACAAGGACAAAGCCACATGATCATCTCAATAAATGCAGAAAATCATTTGACAAAGTCCAAGACCATTCATGATTTAAAAAAAAAACCCTACAAAAATTGGAATAGGAGGTCTTATCTCAACTGATAAAAGCCATCTATGACAAACCAGTTTCCAACATCACACCAGATGGTCAAAAACTAAAGGCTTTCACTCTAAAATCATCAACAATACAAAGATGTCCACTGTCATTACTCCTCTTTAACATAGTTCTGGAAGATTGGCCAGAGAAATTAGACAAGAGAAAGAAAGGCACTTGCATAGGAAAGGAAGAAGTTATTATTTGCTGCTGACATGACAGTCTACATAGAAGACCCTAAACACTCCACCAAAAGACTCCTAGAACTAATAATCAAATTTGGCAACATAGCAAGGTACCAGAACACCACGCCTCCCTCCCTCTATGGCTTCAAATTAACCAGACTTCTGCCCTCCCCCTGAATAGTCACCTGTTGATGCTGCAATCATTAGATGTCCAGCCTGGAAAAGTGAGCCATTCCACACCTATGAACTCTGAGCACGCATGTGTGTGAGTGCACACACGCGCGCGCGCATACACACACACACACACACACACACACACAAATACTTTCAGAGCTCAGCCTTACATATAAATAAGGAAGTTTTATCTTTTATGCTAATATTGTTTGGATAATTTTTCATGCCCATATCCTGAACTCTGTGTAACCTCTTTTTTTTTTTTTTTTTTTCTTTTTCTTTTTTTGGCGGAACCAGGGATTGAACTCAGATCCTTGCATTTGCTAGTCAAGCATTTATCCTACTGAGCCATCTCCCTGGCCCAAAAATGGAAGAAGGATTTTTTTTTTGGCGGTCTGAAGATGCCTTGAGGGCATCTCTGGTTTCCTGCGAGAGACTGGGTTCGAACCAGAGCATCTTGAGCCTGACTTGTGTTACCTCTTTGGGGATAACAATATGCAATATATTAACGATCATTATTCTATTATTTCATTAGGAAATTTTGTTTTATTTTTTTCCATAATTTTTTTTAAGAACTGAAGAAATTGCATATTTTTCTTGTTAAATTGGCATAGATTTGTTTTAAAAACCAATATCCACCAATGGCCAGGAAGCAGTGCAGGGGCGGGGGTGTGTGCAGACTCAACCTGCTCGGGTTACCTCTGGCCGGATGTACCAGTGGTCTCGTGGGCACCGCGCCCTGGGGTGATTTCACAGGGGACTGTCTTGGTGTCAGTTAGCACACCAGCAGTCCTAGGCAAAGCCACAGCCTACAGAACCCTGCAGTGCAGTGAGGGGCTGAGAGGAAGCAGGTCCACCTGGGCACAGGCACCGGGCTACTGTGTGCAGAGTCAAAGTCCTGCTGGACCATCCAGGCTGTGGAACCTAAGACAGAGGACACCAGCTCCAGGCCTGGAACCACAGGGCTGGAGAGGAAAGCCCGGCTGGCCCAAGAGGAGAAGCAGTGTAGAATGACCTCCAGTGACTTGCTTAACTCCAAGCAGGAAAAGGTTTAGCTGGAAGTGTTGCCACAGGCTTATAACTCCAGCCAGTCACAAAGCTGAGGCAAGAGGACCCAAGTTGGAGGCTGACCTGGATGGCTTAGCAAGACCTTGTCTTAAAAAGTAAAAGGGGCTCAGGGGTAGCTTGTACTGGGATTCATTCCCAGTACTGAGAATCATGTTTCTATGATGCCCCAGTAGAAAAAATCTAAAAGAAGGGTGACAAAAAATAGGATATTTAAATATTAGTTTTTAATTTTCTTCTGCACTTTCCTTTTATTATAAAAAGCAGCCTATTCATTCACTTAATGTATACTGAGTGAGCATAATGCTCCAGCACTTTATTAAGGGCTGCACAATAAGTATATCATGATTAACAATTTTCTCATTGAGTTGTTGATCCATTTCCATCCCAGACCCCACTGTAGACAAAGCTGTCCTGGGGGCCCTAGGACCCCTTCAGCCCACAAGCTCATCCCCAAGGCCCAGCTCAGGAGGACAGGAGCAGAAGAGGGATTTCAAGGTTGCTGCAGGCACCGGGCTACTGTGTGCAGAGTCGAAGTCCTGTGGGCTCCCCTCAAGGTGAGAAAGCGCTATAAATACAACCGTGAATGTGTGCTTCATCACATGCCTCGCAAGTAATCACTTCAGTGGCACTTCACCAAAACGTTCCTAAGCAAAGTATAATTTCCTTTCTCAATAACATTGAGAATTTTCTGTCCTTTACTACAAAAATAAAGCATGCTGAGTGTCTTCCCAATTTTTAAAGAGGACCCTGCTGCAGCTGACTTAATCAGCTTTTTAAGGTAAGTTCACCCCTTCCAATGTATGCATATATCTGAATATAAATCTATCTATTTAAAAATTTGCTGAGCTCTTATAATTCACTCTTATTATAGGATGTGCTCAAAGCAAGGCCCTGACTCCTTTGAGTTTATGGAATTCACAATATCCAAGGACTAAGAAAGCCCACTGTCCTTCCTCATGGATATTGGATTACTGGAAGACCACTGTCCATCTAGTGTGGAACAAAGTGAAATAGGATTTCTCTAAAGTGAAACATTATTCCCATTAGTTATATCAGAGAGAAAGTTTTTACCTGTAATTATGTAAGTTAATTGCATAAGTCAGTTACAGGCATTACACCAAAGTCCAACATGAATTAGACTTACAGAATAGGAAACCTTTGGTTGCCTTACATTTCATTTTTTAAATCAGGTCCCCTTATAATCAAGTGATCAGTAAATAGGACATCACAAAGTATCCATTCCAGGTGTCAAATATCAAAAATGATCAGCTTGGTGAATGCAGAAAGCAAATCGCTATTGGTCTAGCCCTTGGCAGCCTACGTCCTGAAAGCATAATTTATCACTTTTACTCTATGGCTTTGTGTGTTTCAGGAACCCAGTTCTGCACTGTTAGAGGAGAGACAGCCATAAATGCATGTGCAAGTGTCTTAGAAACTCAGCGCCTGTGGCATGCCTTCATCTCAATGACCTGCTTTGGGGAGGTAAAGAGCTGCTGCATTTCCTTTGGGTGACTCTGGATTTTTGAGGCCAGCCTTCTCTCACCAACATGCATCCTGCTTGGCCTTCTGTCCATCTATCAAGTGCCACTCCGACAATTCTGAATACAAAATCCCTTTACAAAGGCATAGAGACGCATATGTAAGAGCTCTCGGCGTGGAACCAGGAGGCACTGAATCTGCAGAGCCACTTTGGTGGATGCTTCCTAGGTGTGCAGCACTGGGCAGGTCACTTGTATTCACTTCTGCTGTCTCCTAAAAACTAGGCAATCTGGGAGAATAGTTCACAGCTCAGTCCAGTGTCCTATAGCAGGTACCTGATACAATGAATGTTACTTAGCAGCATTAGTAAGAACACACTTCCAAGATGGATGCCTACTAGGTAGCACCAGGATTCACAAGAGGAGGCTTTGTCCCTAATTTCTCCACCAGGTCCTTGGGATTACCAGGACCCCTGGGACAGACAGTGGGCGAGGGGCTGCGCTCTCGCCGCGTGTGGGTGCCTTTTCTCCCAGGACCAGCCAAGCCTTTCCACAGAACTCACAGGGCGCCTCCGGGAGCTGCATGTGATATCCCACCAGAAGCAGTATTCGCTGGGCCGCTGATCTTGGTCGCTGATACCAGCTGATACCACTTTCTCCTTCCGTGCTGAGCACAGGTAGATGGTGTTTCTGTTTGGTGTCTTGACAGCCTCAGTCCAGAAATGCCAGCAGGTGTATAAACCCTTCTGTACACTGGCAATTCACAACCTATCGTCCCCTTACAAATGGGGTGCTCTTGGGAGGCCTTGCACCCCTGAGTCATGTTAATGACACAGAAAGCAGCAGGTGACACCTACAGTTCAACACACTGGGGCGCTATAGCGGCCTGGAACACACAGCTGTGCAAAGAACAGACACTGGCTGCTTCAAGGCAGGGCTGCGTTGGTGATGTTTTTTCTTCTTTCCACTTTTCTATTATCAAATTTTCTATAATTGAGAGTTGTGCTAGTAAGTGACATCACTTGTCATGTAAACAGCACACTTTGTAGCAAAAGGGGAGATGGATCTCTGGGAACAAGGCTGGAGTTTCGAAGGCAGGCGCTGATGTCCTGTGAAGCCTATGCGGATGAGGGCCCTGTTCCTGAGTGCAGGGAGAAGCCTTGCAGAGCTCACCTGGGCGCCGGCTGCCCGTCCTCCCGGGTCAGACTCCTGCCTTTCCTTCCCTGCCTCTTCTGGGCAATCCGGGCGCAGGGCTGGGAGCGGTGCCTTGAGGAGGCTGCTATTCCTGGGAACCAGGGCCTACCCTTCGGTTCACCCCCCTGGGCCGTCTCTGGAGACCGGATGGTTCGGAATCAGGCAGGTGCGGGGGCCCCAGCCCACGGGAGACCTCCAGGTCCCCCAGACTAGGGACTGGGGATCCACAGCTGGGGTTAGGACCTCCTACCTATCAGCGCCGCTGTCCTCCAGCTGGGGGAGCTCGTAGGGTACAGCTGGCTCCCTGCCAGCCTCTGCCTGGGGACCTGGGCATGACTGCGCTCCTGTTGTCTCAGGTGGCTACGGGGAACCGGAACCGGGCTGTGGTCCTCTGTCCCCTGGGACTCAGGTGTGCGGTGGGGAGATGCGAGGACCCCAGGTCTAGGCGGCTGCGAGGAGGTCAGTCTCAGGTGGGTGACATTTTGAGGTCCCGCCCTGCCTAGTGTCACAGTTGGGTCGGGTCCCACCTGGGTGATTATTCTGGGGTCTCCTCCTACCTGCGTGCCCCGCAGGAAGTCGTCCGCGGAGCGGGTGCCCATGAAGGGCAGCTGCAGGTGCGTGTGCGGGTCGATGCCTCCGGGCAGCACCAGCTTCCCCGTCGCGTCCAGCACGCGGGTCCCCGCGGGCGCCCGCAGCCCCGGGCCGAGCGCACGCACCAGGCCGTCCTGCACCAGCACGTCGGCATCCTGCGAGCCCTCGGGGTGCACCACGCGGCCCCCACGCACCAGCAGCCGCGACATCGCTGCCCCCGCGGGCCGGAGCAGATCGACTGGGACCCGGACCTAACAGGCTTTGAGGTCCGCGGTGCCCCGCCCCGGGGAGGGCCAGCGCCAGCGTTCAGCTAGCCAGGAGAGCGCTGCGGCGTCTCCCAGTGGATCTTCCCAGGCCTCACTGCGGGTCGGGGTCAAACAGAACTGCACAGCGAGACCCCGTTTCAAGAAACCAAACGGAACCGAACCGAACCAAACCAAACCAAACCCCCAAAAACCTAAAAACAAAACAAAACCAAAAAACAAACAAACAAAAAAACCCAACAAAACAAAACAAACCCAAAACACCCAAAAACCCACCTCTCATTCTTCTATCCTGCCCCTTTCTTTGACGTCTATTTATTCCTTTCTACAGTTTCCTCTGGGAAAGGTTTATTGACTGGACACACTGGAAATCTGCATAAGTGACTTCTTAGAGTAAGCATAAGGCATTTTTATTATAACGTAAAACCTTGGATTTGTTTGTAGCGAATCCTTCAGGGGAACAAGAAAAGAAATGCAATAACCCTTCATTCATTGCAGCTAGAGGGAAGCAGTCTCCAAGGGGAGGGATGGACCTGCAGTCGTGGCTTAGAGCCGGGCCTGATGCATTAAGTAGACTGTTGTTTTCCTTTGCAGAAATAATCCAGTGTTTCTGATAGGATCTGTAGTTGTCCTGGGTATCATCTGGAGTCCTGGGAAGTGTGGACAGTGGGCCCCTTCTGTTCTTGTCCCAGGCCCGCCCTTCCCAGAAGACAGTAGGCAGTTCTCCTGAGCCCAGCAAGATGACCCTGCAGACCCTGTGCCGGCTATGGCCATTTTGACAGGAAATTCTGGTGACAGGTACCAAAAATATGGACTAGGAATGTGTGTCTGGCACGAGAGAGCTGGATTGTGAATTCACAAGGCACTGGGTTTAAGCCCTTGCGTCTATTATTTCATCTCTTCGAGAACTCCATGGCATGGGAAATATTATCAGGCCCACTTGACTGACATAAAAACTGGAGCAAGGTTGACAGCCAAAACAATATGCTGCTTTGATCAGATTTTAAGACCAGTGGTACCCAGAACACATTATATTGGTGAATAAATGAGAATAAATAGTATTTTCTGTTAATTGCTAAAGCAACTGCTTTTCTCCAGAATACACAGGAGTTACTTTCTTGCTGTTGAGACAAAAACGCACAACACTCACAACTTGAAAGAGGAAAAGTTTCTTTTAGTCCAGTTATGGAGGTGTCAGCCCATAGTTGGCCGGCTCCCAGGCAGAGGTCCTGGGCAGTGGAAACAGTCCGTGGCAGGGTAGACAGGAAGCAGCAGCCTTCCTTAGGCGTGCCTTTTTAATTTAATCCAGGACACAAGCCTATTGGTTTGTGTCACCCATATCCAGACTGGCTCTTCCTTCTTTAGTAACTCCATCTCCCACATCTTGAAACAGAGAAATGAACATTATATTGTACAGTGAAAATACCAAGGCGGGTGAGCTGTTTGAGGCCCACCCAAAGGAAGCAGAAAGAGGAAGCTGTCACAACCCACCGTGGAGGCACACCGGGCTGACGTGCACGCCTGTGTAACGTAGGTGGGCATGCAAAGGACTTCTCTGAAATCTAGAAAATATTCATCGGCTGCACTGATTACTTTTTCCTTTTCAGAAATTCCTTTTAGTTCTAAAATTTTGCAAACGTTACTGTTTCTGTACTATTAAAAAATATAGTATTCCTTTTCAATATTAAGGCAGGGAAAAAATGCAATCACAGCTTACTCTCAACCAATCACAGCTTACTCTCAACCAAGCTTACTCTTATATCCACATTCAATTTAGAAGCCTTTCCTGAGAACTGGCTTTTCTATACTGCTTGCCTCTTACTCCGCTACAGAGGGACCTACCTGAGTGCAGCAGGTCCTGCCCCGCGGCTGGCCTTGAGTTCAGGGTGATGGGGGCAGGCTGGGCGACACAGCACAAGACAGGCCCAGGGCTGCGGCAGGCTGGTGAGCAGCCAGACCCCGAGCGTGCCCTCTTCCTCTTTCAATGGTCTCACCCCCACCCCACCCTGCTTTCCTGTCCCCACGGATGACTGAAGACTATGGGAAGTGGTAATGACTCAAATGCTGCACACAGATGTCTTCTTTGCACCTGGGGTACAGGGGGCCGGCACCCCAGGGCTAGGGCAGGTTCTACTACAGAGCCAGCCTCTCCCTTCGTTAGTACATTCTTTTGCCTCTCTAGGGAGCAGATCTGAGTAGCATCCCAGTAGACACACTCAGGCAGTGTGCACCCTGGGTAAATCTTCATATACGGTGCATCTTGTATAACTACTTTAATACCCGGTTCATGAGACACCATTAGTATGAATTCCCTTTGTCCTCTGCAATTACAAGGGTGCTGAGTGGCGGCCAGCAGCTCCCAGACATGTCACCACAGTGAACTGCTGAAGGGCGCATGTAGTTTTTTCATAGATCTGCATACAGTGGTAGCTCAGTTCAGGAGCTTAATTCTTTGCATGATTCTGGTTGACCTTGAGCTGGACGAGAACCGTATCGATTTCACTGGTCAGCTCACTGTTGACTATGGAGAAATCGGACTCCATTCTTGCCCAACTTCATTTGTGATCAGAATGACGGAAGGAATGAAGCTCCTGAACCGCAGAACCCTTGTACCTTTACCAGAGGCCGAACCCTGGGTGTGGGTTGAGTCCAGGTCATCATGTTACCAGATTGGGCTTGAGCTTGTGATCTCCCAGTTTCCCAGAGTGCCGGGAATGCACCCATTCTCCACTGTACCTGGCCAGAGAACAGACTTGCTAAAAGTGTTCCTGGGCTAGTTTAAAAATGGAAAGACAATAAACTCCAAAGACAAATATAAACGTATTGTTTGTCATAAATATGAAAATTAAAAAGAATCAGAAAAAAACCCTACTAGCTATATCAAGAAATTCTAGTCCCTGGGAAAAAGCAAAGATGGAAAAATTCCTCTTTAAAGACTTCCAGGTAAAAGTGGCAATCAGAAGTGAGACTTCAGGGATAGGGGTGCAGCTGTGTGGGGGAGGGGCTTGTCTGGCCACAGGAAACTGGGTTCTCACCCCAGCCCCACAAGAACACCTGGAAAATACCAGCACTGACAACCCTGGTATACCTGAGTCATTCAGCTTAAAGAACACTCGAAACTAAGTCCATGCCTTCAATCTTATGTTACTGAGAAATCAACCAATCAATTACTGAGTCTGTAAGTTAGGAAAATAATGAAGTAAAAAATTATTGAAGTGTAAATCAAATAATTAAAGACAAAAATAATTACAGAAAACAGACAAGGCATGACACACACACACACACACCCTGCAGGCTGTTATCGCTGTTTTTTCTGACGGGGTCTCCTTTCGGTGTGCAGGCTAACCTCCAACTTGTGTAAGTGATCTTCCTGCCTCAGTCTTCTAAGAAGCGAGGGCTGCAGGAGTGTGTGGCACTCAGTCTGGCTGTTGGTTAGCATGAACAAGAAGGGTGCAAACACAGTAAACAGTGAGTGAGCAAGCCATCCTCATGGAAGAGGAAGAAAGAACTTCACTCAGATCAGGCAATCAAGTTGAAAATCTAGATGACATGGGTGGTTTCTGATCCCAGACAAGAACAAGTGCCACAGATTAAAAGAAAACTGTCAAGGGGCCGGGGAGATGGCTCAGTGGAATAAGCACTTCCCTGGCAAGTGCAAGGGCCTGAGTTCAATCCCTGGTTCC